CTGGTCCCAAATCCATGTTTTTAAGGACATCTAAAAGTGAAATACATTGATAAAGTGATTTCTTTATAATCACATGCCTTTCATTGATATAATCCCAACTTCTGATGAATGTGATAGCCACATTATATATAGTAGTCATTAATATGATTACAGAGAAAAGCAAAGAAAATCTGCTGTTTTATTTAACCTTCACAATGTTGAAGATACAAATGCATGTTATGTTATGCTAGTTTTAAACACCAAAAATAATATGCAAACTCCTGAAACATTTTTCCTTAAATGTCAGACATTGGACTCAAGTTGGAGATGATTGCTCTAAACAATAGCAAAGCAGAGGCTCCTACGTCCAAGAAAAGAATGGCTGAATATCGCCAGCACCTAATGTTGTGACTGGCACAAAATAAAGCTTGAAAGACATATCTTGAAAAAATGAAGGTCTTCCTTCTTAGAGGAAATGCTTTGACTTCTTTCTACAATAGAGCATGAACTTTTCTATTATATAGCACTTGGCCATTTTCAAAACATCTTCACACCTGTCTCGTTTGCTTGTCTTACCTCTCCTTTGTACAAGACTTGCATAAGTACTGGTATTTCATCAAAGAGCTCACTCTCACCTGGACTGAGACTCCATCTTGTGGGATTCTACATTCAAGGAGACTAAAAACGGTTCTCTCCTGCCCTGGCTCCCAGTTTGAATCTAATTGTCCATCTGTTATCCAAACTACTTTTGAATTTGTTACCAAATGTACTCAGATGAGTTAACTGAGTATAATTTTTTTAACTTCTCAGATGTCTGTCAGGGTCCGACTTGGCACCCATTTGCTCTGAAACTTGGCTGTGCTGGGATTATTTTTCTTGTCTTGTGTGTGATTGGGCTGAGCGTTTCAGGTAAGTGAGGCTGGGCTATTTGTTTCAGAATATTTGCTCTACTTCCATTATAAATATCAGAGCATTTAAACAATATTTATCAGGTTGTATTTATTATTATTATTCTTTAATCTGACCAGAGACTGACATGGAGAAAGAGAGAGAGAAAGTGAAAAAGCAAACAGCCAGGGTTGGCCATGTGGGAATTCAGTGCCTCAACCACCACACCCCCTGTTGGCTCCAATATTAGAGCATCTTTACATAATTCCACCACCCCAGACTTAGTGAAAGACAAATGAGATAAAGTTAGAAAACAGTGCTTCAATTTGGAAACTTCAACCTGTCTCATTTCTCTTCCTAATTACGCTGAGAGTTATCCCGGGGATTACATGTGTGTGCCATAAATATAAAACAGATGGCAGTTGTGACTAAAAGGTAACAATAACAATGAATTAAAATATCCAATTATTTTCAGTTTATTAAGTACCTACACAATTCTAAAATGTAATAGACAGTCTCTCCCTAAGCATAGGCATAATTATAATCATTCTGAAGATGAGAAAGTTCAGACAAATGTGTAAGCAATTTAACAGTGAAGTAACACCTTTTTAAAAAATTATTTTATTTACTCATTTATTCATTTGTATTTATTTTAAGTTGATCAGAGAGGTACAGAGTGAGACAGAGAGAGAGAGAGAGAGAGAGAGAAAGCAAGCCACCGGGTCCAGGACGTGAACTGCAATTGGCCATGTGGGAGTCCAGCGCCCTTAACCACCATACCACCTGCCGGGCCCTAAGTAACACCTTTAAATGGACTTATCTAGCAGACAATAAGTAGCCTGACATAAGTGTGAGTCCATTTGCCATGTGTTTTTCATGTTGGTTTATGTTTCTGTCTTCAAACTAGACCTTTCCTACCACATTGCAATTGCCTTTACCTTATGTCTGTATTCAAGTTTATCGAGATGGAGCTGGTTTCCTGAAGTGAGAAATGTAACATATCCATTCTATGATACATGTCAACATTTAATCCTTTTCATGATTTTCTCCTTATTTATTAGTGATACCCTTAATTAAAAAATCATCAATAGAAAATTGCAGTGTGATTATTCAAGAGAACAGAAATAAAACAACAGGTAATTTTTTGAATTTCCTAAGAATAGTAGCTATTATTGATAGATATCATGCATTATCTTAGTTAAGGCCCACAATAATCTCTACAATAGGATACCCTTATCACCCAATTTTGTATTTGAGGACAATGAGATATAAGACAGTCAGACAACCTGCTAAGGATTATACAGATAGTCAAAGGTGACACCAGGAATTCTACGTAGGTGGTCTGACTTCAGAGCCTGAGATCTTAGCCACAAGAGCATGCTGCCTCATAAGACTATTCAAACAGTAATAGCCAAACATCAAGGTAAACATTAAAACGTGCATTTAAGTGAAATATCAGTATGATTTTAGTGAAATGTCAGAGAAGTTTAATTCGAATTTAATGAACAGAATTCAAAACATTGTATTTATTCAACATTAATCTTGTTCCAGTGTGCATTAAGAATTGTCTGTGTTCATAAAGGAAACTTTTGTTGAGTGACTGTAGCAGAATGTGACCAGTGTGCACATTCTTAGACTACAGAAAAAAATTTTTTTTTCAGTTTCCCTAGGAAAACACACAGGGTCTGGGTCTAGAACTGTGCTGTTGGTCATGTGAAATCCAGTCACTTTTACTACACACCACTGGGTAGCTCCAGAACTTTTTATAAAGAAATATTTATTTAATTGTATTTATCATTATCATTATCATTATTCTACAGAGTATGTGCACTCACCAGAGACAGACAGAGAGAAGATGAGAAAGCAAACCATCAGGTGTAGGACTCGAACCACCGTCAGTTATGTGGGAGTCCAACACCTCGACCTGCTGGGCCCTAGCCACAGAAATTTTAATAAATCTGGAAATCGTTTTGGCGAAGGTTATGCAATAGATCACTTTAATTAGGTAAATATATCATTTGGCAGTTAGAATTTTGTTAGTTTTTTTTCTTCCATGGCATTTCACATTAATTTAAGAAAGTATTATTTGCTTTGCTTTTTGCGTGATTTATATGAGTTTGATATCATTGTCCATGAAATAGAATAAGTACTGGTGATGAATTATAGGCAACAGAAATAATCCTGACTCTGTCAACATCTTATTGAGTAGACCTGAACAAGTTGCTCTGTTTCTCGTCTTACTATGTATGATGTAACAGTTTAAATTATTTTAATGGTATTTTCCTATTATCACATTTCATCATTGCATTTATGCTTAATATAAATGACCACTAATTCTTGATATCAGAATAAACAGTGTCTAAAAAAACCTCACAATTATGAAAAATCCATTGTCCTCACAGTGATAGGGACTTCTGAGCATTTAGGGCTTATGTGTGCGATTCGTTGTGCTGTGGCAGGGACAGGTTAAAATAACACACTGCTTTCTGTTTCTTACTTTAGAGAAACCGAGTCAGTTCAAGTGCCCAATGAATTGGCAACAAGTCCGAGAGAAATGCTTAATTTTTGAGACAAATGTCAGCTCTTGGAATAATAGTCGAACTGACTGTTCCAGAAAAGATTCCACTTTGCTGCTTATTCAAGATCAGGAAGAACTGGTATATCATTAAATAAAATGCTGTATTAGATGGTAATACTTTCTTTAAACTATAGCAAGATCTCTGGGCATTAGCCCAAGGATTTTATGCAATATAAGTAGAGGTTCTGACTTCAAGAATCTTGCAATCTGAGAAACTAAGCAGACTTACAAACAAATAATTGAATATTTGGTGATGAATACATTAATATAAATATAAATATATAGAAGAAAGTATCACAAAAAAAAGAATAGTTAACTCTGATAAGGGGTTAGGAAAACCTCATAAGCAGAACGATGCTTGAGCTAGGTTTTAGGGAATGAACAGATGAATACAAACCATCATTAAGTAAACAGAATATTCAGTCATTTCTTCTATTCCATTTATAGAAACTCATACAGAACAAGATAAGTGACGTGGGAATTCTATATTGGATTGGATTACGTTTTACAGAGAAGAACTGGAAGTGGATAAATGACTCTTTTTTACATTCTAATACGTGAGTATTGGATTAACTAATTTTAACATTCAATTCACCTCTGGTGACATTCCCAGGTAGTAACATTGTTATTGAAAATTGAGCTTTATAGTTTCAACTTGGTTGAGAAATTCTCACAGAGTTCAAAACAGTTAAAAATGGATGATTAAAGGGATGAGCAGATGGCACAGTGGCTACGTCACAGGACTGCCACCTGGCCAACCATGGTTCAAGTCCTGGACCTGGCAGCTTCAAACTCATGCCTGGGATGTGTGCACACATGCCCAAAATCCCAAAAGGAGAATGGAGGAGAAGGGACTGCAGTGTGGCCATCCCCCTTGGGAGGGAGGGTGATTTCTCACTTTCCATCTCTCTATGTCTTTGTCTCTCCAGCAAGCATACATTCCCTATAACAAAAATCTCTCTCTAAAAAAAATAAAAGAATAATTTTCAAGTTGGCTGAGAAGTTCCATGTATAAAAATACATCAGCCATATATACTAGATAAATATGTATATACATATATAGCCATCAGGAAGGTCATGATGCGTTTTTCTATGCAGAAATGCATCATGAATTTCCAGATACCCCTATATACATATACGTGTGTGTGTGTGTGTTGCGTGGGTGTCAGCAGCATGGGTGTGTGTGTGTGTGTGTTGCGTGGGTGTCTGCAGTGTGGGTGTCAGCGTGGGTGTGTGGGTGGGGGGGGTGCGGGGTGGGT